TAATATTTTCTTTTGTGTGTGTGCCACGCTACTGGCCTACTCTCTCTGCCAATGATTTTAGCCGTGCATCGTGGTCGTCGAGAAAAAAAAGAGTGTCTGACAAAAAAACAAACCAACTACTTATCGCAGACAGATCACACTCCGAAATGTCATCTTGTTTGAGGTGGCTCAACTTGTCACAATGCAACCACTTCTATATTGAACATACATGTGTTATTTCTGTTCAAACAGAGTTTCCAAGTTAAGTGTTCATCGTTCTTTCTTTTCTTTGCGTTCGTTTCGAGAAAGGAAAGCAGCTACGCGTCATTGTACAAACGCATTTTGTTATCTTGTAGTATTTGTATTTTTGGGAGGTGAGAAGTGTATTTGTGTGTGCGTGTGGGGGGGGGGGGTGGGGGGGGGGGAGGGTTACGAGAGATGTTTGTCGGTAAAAGATAGTATCCCTTTCTTCGAATGCAGAAAAATGGATTCGACCAAGCTAAGGGGTGTTGTTAGCTATACTTCGACTCTATATCTGATGGTATGTTGGGTTCCCAAGCAAGGTAAGACTCACATACAAAGCCGGGAAGGCATAATGACGGCAGAAGCCTGCCAAGCTAGTCAGATTCGGTCGTAGTGCGAACGGGCAATATGAAAATAAGCCCAGTTGCAAAAAAAAAAAAAAATGATTCGGATCTCATGAGAATGTTCCACCGAGGCGGACCAAGTGAGAATAGGACTAAATGCGCAAGGCTCAAATGCAAGTGGTCCGTTTTCAGATAACGGGCAAAATGAGAATAGGCCCAGTTGAGAAAAACCTGATTCGGATTTTATGAGAAGATTTAAACGAGAAGGACCAAATGAGAATGGGACAAAATGTGCAAGGTTCAAACGCAAATGGGACGTTTTGAGATACACCCCGGCCGCGGGACTTTTACGAAATTGAAAGTCCACCGGTTGGCAGGTATGCTGTCCTTGATGGATATAAATGTAATTTTCTGAAATGTCAGGTATGTTTAGTTTCTCAAACCATATCATATATTTTCCGGAAAGTGGGCTTCTTTTCCACCCTGAACTCTCATGTTTCTTTTTTTGCTTCTTTTGCTCTCTTCTAACCGACTTTCTATCTTGTCCATTCTTCCCCAGCATTAGTTTAGCGTGTACATTGTGCAAGCAGGCAGAAGCTTGAATGAAAGGGCAAGAGAGCTTGATTTGTCGATGAAGTGGGCCCAATAAAGACGCTTGGCGGTGCATTGTCATAGATCATCAGCCTAACGGATCAACCTAACAAGGTTAAAGCTTTTGTTGATAATCTACCGAGTGCTTAGGCACGTATGCTACGTGAGAAGCCAATGACACAGCAGACGCTCACGGCCTGCGAGCCATATAAGTAGCCCCACCTAACCCAAGAAATCTATGCAGCCTGGCTTAGCGGCAATTGTCACAAAGCCAGAGCTGAACAAAACAAATACTGTAGGAAAGTATAAAAACAGAAAGTGTAGATTTTGAGGCTTTTAACCTTGGCGGCTTAACTAAATGCATCAAGCGCTCCATCGTTACACCTACCACATAATAAAATTCAAGTACATTGTGTAATCATTGCACTAACAAGGAATGTATGTTCCTGTTTTTAACGTTCAAGTTGAATTGCTAGTAGCGCTTACAGTGATGTGATTGGCCTAAGCCATTTTGGAGCACCTTTTGGAGCAGCCAAAACAGCATTTTGGAGCAGCAAAAGTGGCTTTTGGAGCAGCCAAAACAGTGTTTCGGAGCAGCAAAAGTGGCTTTTGGAGCAGATATTCTTAGAAAAACAAAAATATTTCTTTTAAGGGCTCTACAAACGAATGTACTTTATGTTGTGTTCTGTTCTGATGTGACGCGTTGTGACGGAACTCGCTGCCGGTGTTTTTACTGCTGAGACATCCCACAAATGTACAGTGCTGTAGGCGTTGCCGAGCAATTCCGAAAAGAACGCTTGCAGTGATGTGATTGGCCTAAGCCATTTTGGAGCACCTTTTGGAGCAGCCAAAACAGTGTTTTTGAGCAGCAAAAGTGGCTTTTGGAGCAGTCAGAACAGTGTTTTGGAGCAGCAAAAGTGGCTTTTGGAGCAGCCAAAACAGTGTTTTGGAGCAGCAAAAGAGGCTTTTGGAGCCACCTTTAATTGCTGGACAAACAAAGTGCACTTGGAGCTGTGTTGTGACGAAACTCGCTGTTTGTGCTTTTACTAATGAGACATCCCACAAGTGTACAGTGTCGTAGGCATTGCCGAGCAATTCCGAAAAGAACGCTTGCCACCCTTTTACTGGTTCCCGACGTGCCAGATTTTCGTCAAAAGGAAGCAAACGTAAAACAATGAATTGCAAGCGTCTCGGCTGGGGCCTCTTTGGTGCAGTCATGTTCACATGCATGTGAGGGCAACTTCAGCAAGCTTGCAGTGGCACGTGCTTCATCAAGCGAGCAGAGACAACGGCTGTTCAATAGAAACCGAAACAATGCCACTCCCCTCCGTCGTCAACTGATTCCCGAAATAGTATGCGAAATGTAACTGTTTAGCATACGACAAAAAAAAAAGAACAGTCAGGCAGCGCGTGCTTGCCAGGCCGGCAGGCAAGGTAAAAGCTAAACGCAAAAAAAGAGAAAAAAAAGAACCTGAGCGCATTAATGCATGACATCGCGAGCCAGGGTCAAAAAGTTCTTGCGGCGCTTTGTGCAACGACTAAACTCAAGACAAACAAGCGCGACGTGCTGGTTCAACATGCACAGATTGCCTTCTTTGCTTTAGCTCACTTCACTTCACCAACTTTGTTTCGTGGCAGATTTTTCACGTAGCAGGGTCCCTCTCGAAAGAAAGTCCACCGAGAGAAACCTAGGTAATCAATATTTCGACAAGCAGCTTTTGTAGTAAAGTATGATTTAGAGAAGGGCAGGAATGTCGATGAACAAATTTAGAAAGCGCCACATCTGCAGCGACGTAAGAACGGCAACACCCGACGTCGCGTGACCACGGTGACTGTGTTCGCGCGAGCGTTTCAGCTCACAAAGTAACTCTCGCCGCCCAAAAACGTGGTTTTGTTTCACAGCATGGCTGGCACCCGGCACGACGGCATGGCTGGCACCCGGCACACTAGCGTCGGAGCGTCAGCACACGCCCGCGTCTATCGTTGAAAAATTTTAAAAAAGACGTGAGACAAGATTCCCGAAACGACGGGGGACGAGGGCGCGAAACGCGCAACAAACCACTAGGAAAAACCATGCAAGACCGCAGCCACGTAGCCAGGATTTTGTTACGAGGGGGGGGGGGGCGCGCGTGCCCATGACAAAATGCTGTATGAGGGGAGGGGGGAGAGGAGCTCCCAGCAAAATGGAAGATTTCAGGGAGGGGGGAAGCCCGGGCACCATGGGCCACCCCCCTGGCTACGTGCCTGCAAGACCGGATGGACAATTGATGCAGGGTACTTTGTGCCAGGAGGCCGCTTGAGCCACCTAGCTCACGCATGCTCAATTACGGTTCTCACTTTAGTTTCGGTTTTAAGGCAACCGAAATGGGTCCTTTGGCGCAGGCTTGGCGCAGATTATCCATATTTTGGCAAAATGTAGCAGGATGTAGCAGGGTTCGCCCCTTGGCGCAGTTTGGCGCAATAGGCGCAGCAATCACATCACTGCGCTTGCCACCGCTTTACTGGTTCCCGACGTGCCAGATTTTCGCCAAAAGTAAGCAAGCGCAAAACAATGAATTGCAAGCGTCCCGGCTGTTGCCTCTGTCATGCAGTCGTGTTCACATGCACGTGAGGGCAACTTCAGCAGGCTTGCAGTGGCACGTGCTTCGTTGCGCGAGTGGAGACAATGGCTGTTCAATCGAAACCGAAACAATGCCACTCTCCTCCGTCGCCAAATGGTTCCCAAAATAAAGTGCAAAATGTAACTGTCCAGCATACAAAAAAAAAAAAAAGCAGTCGAGCAGCCTGTGCTTGCCAGGCCAGCAGGCGATGTACAAGCTGTACACACAGAAAAAAAGAACCTAAGCGCATCGATGCATGACATCGCGAGCCAGGGTCGAAACGTTTTTGGAGCGCTTTTGTGCAACGACCAAACTCGAGGCAAATAAGCGCGCTGTGCGGGTTCAACATGCAGACATTGCCTTCTTTGCTTTAGCTCACTTCTCTTCACCAACTTTCTTTCGCGGCAAATTTTTTACGTACCGGGCTCCCTCTTCAAAGAAAGTCCACCGAGAGGAACCTAGGTAATCAGTATTTCGACAAGCAGTCTTTGAGTTAGAGGGCTTCTTGTAGTAGAGTATGATTTAAAGAAGGCTAGGAATGTCGATGAACAAGTTTAGAAAGCGCCATATCTGCAGCGACGTGGGGACGGCAACACCCGACGTCGCGCGACCACGGTGACTGAGCGTTTCAGCTCACAAAGTAACTCTCGCCGCCCAAAAACGTGATTTTGTTTCACAGCATGACGGCATGGCTGGCACCTGGCACACTAGCGTCGGGGCGTCCGCACACGGCTGCGTCTATCGTTGAAAAACATTTTAAAAAGACGCGAGACGAGATTTTTGAGACGATGAGGACAAGGGCACGAGCAACGTTGGGCACGAGGGCGCGAAACGCGAGACGGCGGAAAGGAGGTAGGACGGGATGCGGGAAAAAACATGCAAGACCGGATGGACGATTGATGCAGGGTACTACATGTCGGGCGGCCGCTTGCGCCACCTGGCTGACGCATGCGCTATTACGGTTCTTTGTTTAGTTTCGGTTTTGAAAGGCGACCGAAATTGCTCCTTTGGCGCAGGCTTGGCACAGATTACCTACATTTTGGCAAAATGTAGCAGGATGTAGCAGGGTTAGCCCCTTGGCGCAGTTTGGCGCAATTGGCGCAGCAATCACATCACTGCGCTTAGTTCATTACCTTTATAGTCCCTGTTCCCTTGCAGTGTCAATATTCACAGAAACACTGCCTGCATTTGAGAACCTGCCACTATCCTCCGTTCATGAAACAAGTTGAAAGGCACGACGTACCATGACTTGAGGACTGGATCGGTTCCATGAAGGCGGCTGTCTTGGGTCAAGTTCGTACTACGGCTTACGAGGTCACAAAGGAGGCGGGGGAACCACTTGCGATGCCTGGGACCAAACACAGAGTAACTACAGTAATTAAGAACAAAACCGGCAAAGCCATAAAATGCATCGAGCTAACCAGACAGCTGTGAGGATAACACATACAAGTCCCACCCAACATGTTTATGAAGATAAAAGTATAACGAAAAGCAATGCCTGTGTCCTAGTAAGGGGGGGGGGGGCATTATGTGCCACCTGATTTAGAGTTTGGAGCTACATTTCACTTCTAAAACGAGCGATCGGGCCACCGCAATTAACCCCAAAGCTGCTTTTGTATGAATTTTGAGTGGCGAATTAATCTCCTATAATCCTGTAGAGGGACAATAGCGACGTCTGGGACACAAAGAGTCCCAGTGAGAGGGAAGTTCCTCCTTCCCCTTTTCTCACGTGGTGGCCGGAGGCGAGACAGGCATTGCCACTACCTATCAAGGTACTCAAACGGGCAATACAAACGAGGCTTTATCGACATCCACCAGGTGCTCTTTGCTAATAGCTTCATTTGTTTTAAAATTCCTTTTCGTGTCTTTTTCAACAAGAAATTGGTTGAACACGTATAGACAAAGAAATAATCATCAAAATTTCGTTGTAGTATCCCTATAAAGGGACGCTGACGGGGTATTTACACTCGTCGAGGTTTTCATTTGAACATTTCGTATAAGAGCCCAACTACCCAGAACAAAATTTGCTATTCACAATCAGTTGTTTTTTTTTTTTTTTTTTTTTTTTTTTGCTTGAGAACATCCGGTTGAGAATCGGCCGGTTTCAGTCGCACTCACTCTCCTTTTCATGGTCGCGAGGCGTTCAAAATATGTGTACAAAATATATTCAAAGTCGTTGGTCATCTAAGGCACACATTCAATAATACAAATCGAAAAAATATGAACCCCATTTTTCTAGCCTCCTAGAAGATGCAAATATGTTGATCAAAATAAAAAATGTTGCATAGACTAAGTAAATGCACACATCATTCTCAATATGAAGACGTACTGCGAACTGGACCACACAATGGCGGCGCAAGATGGACCAACGTTGCAACGGACGTGGGGCCGCTACTTTGGAAATGTCATTCATGGTACCAACCAATCAATCTTCAAGCACAGAATATAGAGTAAAGGGGATAAAAAAGCGAAAGAATCACACGACAAACGGTTCAAGCAACTTCGTCACTGTCGTCGTCTGCTTCACACGCTGGAGAAGAACAGACAAAAAAAATAAATGCAATCGGGTGTAGCCACGTGACTTCCAGCCATGAGCTCCCGTGGTAGTGTTTCGGCTTTGTTTTCGAGCAGTTGAGTTTTTTGGCTTCATTAAAGATATATACGTGGCTCCGCAGCAAAATATTTATGGTGTAGTCTCCCAACACCCTATTAAATTGCCTGGCAAAAAATAGAGCAACATTTTTGCGGTGTGTCAGTGTCCCTTTTACCCATTTATTTACTTATACTATGGTGCCTGGAACACGTTTCCGACTGGTGTGTTTACCGGGTCAAAGAGTGGTCCCTCGATTTCCGCCTGATGACGTCACAGAAGTGTCATGCTGTCGCTAGTCGCAAACCTGGCGGCGTCCCAATAGCTGTGGTGTATGGCAGACGCATGTTCTGCTGCAGGTCGCTCTCCAATGCGGCAGTCCACGGAAGCTAAAGCAGCCGGAAGTTGGGACGCCCGGGACGCCGTGACAAGAGCGACACTCGCGTTCGCCTGTGGTTTTCGCCAGCATTTCTACGACCAACCGCCAGGATCGCGACATGCAACAGCACGACACTACGGCTTCTGCGACGTCATTTGTTGCCACTTTGGGACCACTTTTGATGTATGGGCGAGATAGGACGCTAAACACACCAGTTGGAGACGCGCCCAGGCACCATACTTATACTAAGCAGCAGCACCCTTATTTGAACGAGGGCCCGAAAAATAACTCGTCTGGAAGCGAATCCTAGGCTTTGGTTTGACAGGTACAGACTGTACCACAGAAGCTTGAGCGAGTGCAGGGGGATGGGTGGCCAAGTGTTTTAACACACCACAGATCAGAGCACACGGAGCAAACGCTCACCCTGCAGAACCCAGGGATTCTGGGTTCAAGCCCCATCCCTGCTTATTTGGATATGGATGAGCATCGTACCGGCGAGCGGTCATGTATCACTACTGCGAGCTGCACGTTAAAGACCTTAAAAAAGCAGTCGTACTGGACTGGCTAGATTTCTCATCTACAGCTGAGGGACAAGCCGTCCACTGAGGCTGACCTCTGGCTGTCTAAACACGCATATAACACAATTACTCATTCGCGAGTTAGTGCGCGCCCCCGTAGCGATTGTGCTTCATTGTACTACAGTTCCGAAGTACCCAGGCCAATATCACGCGGTTTTTTTTTTGTTTTTTGTTTTTCTTATGGCGAAAATAACACACGTGTTGTTGTGCGACAACGAAAATGGGAAAGCAGCGAAAACGCGAACCCGAGCTGTGGCGGGAAGGACGGAATCGACGGCGGCTCCCGAGCGAGAGGAGACTCGCCGATCGCCCGAAGTGTGTACGGCGGTCGCAGTTGAAGTAGGTGGCTGCCGTCTCCACGACATTCGTGTCCAGGGCTTTAAACGGAGCACCAGTCACCCTGGTACGGCTAGCTTTAGTAGACCGTTCCCTCCGCTGACCCCCTCGCGCATGCATCGTATCATTATCGGAGGCATCCGACCGATATACGTGCTAAAGCACCCTACCGTCGTCATCGTATGTATCGCTTAAAGGGGCCCTGCAATCATATTGAAGCGTCTACCTTTTTTGCGGTTTCCACGTCTCTTGGGGTTCGGGCGAGCCAGCGGGCACGGAGAGAGTAACTGGATATCAGTGCATCATACTTTAACCAGATGACGCGGAAACCTCCTCCACCGACGAGGGCGACCCGCGGTACTGAAAGCGCGCAAAATGTGACGTCTTTGGTCCTGGGTTTACTACTGGTCAGAGCCGCTCAAAGCTTTTTTTTAGTCGAAATACAAAATATAAGTGGCACAAACCGTTTCAATTATTTCTAAAAGTAGTTTTTGTTCAGTATTTTAGATCAGAAAAGAAAGAAATGCAGTTTATGAAGTACGGAAACAAGAAATGACGCGTCGACGTACCCGCCACTAAGCGGTGGAAAAGGCGGCGCATACTAGAAAAGAGTAGTGGGATCAGGAGCCGACACGGTAAGGCCCCGGATGTACGCGGCGGCGCTGCGGTCGTTTACGGACTGGAGGATCCGACCGGCTCCGAGCGTTCCGAAGGCCTTCAGCGAGTAGGTTTGTCTTGCGTTTTGGCCATTTCGCGGTACGGCAGCACGAAGTAACTCCCATTCTGAATTGATCTTTACCCCGTGTTTGCTGTCGTTTGTGGCCAATGAAGTGTCATGCCGAATTAGTGTTTAATCACGCAGCAAATGCAATGAGAGCCGCTCTGGCTGCCCGCTGTATAGAGCCTATCCAGAACACGCCTTAGTGGCGCCCTCTCGCGCCGTCGACACGGAGTGCGGCAGCCGTGAGCACTCGCAGAGCTCACTATCCCTCCTCTAGTTCACGGCCACTCAAGCAACCAAGGACGTCATGAGGGAGGTTATTTTTTGCTTGTTTTTGTAATTTTAATTTGCCTATAACTTCTAAAATAAAGCGAAATTCGAGAAAAGAAAAGTTACATTAAGTTACTACGGTCAGTGCGCTCAGGTTTGGTGCAAATTAAAAACCAGTAAAAAAGTGCTTGCAGGGCCCCTTTAAAACAAAGTGAAGCGAGCGCGCAATCGGTTTTTACGGCTTCACATGACGCTACGCACACGCACATCATCCCAGTAGCGATCATCCGGTAGTGTGCAACCTTTGAAAGAAGAACGAGAACACAAACACGCCAAAAATTGAGGATGCAGCGAGCAGTCACCTAAAAGCTGCAGCCACTGCAGCCGTGAGTAGAGCCTTCTGAAGTTTACTTCAAACCTATTCAGGATTCAGTTTATAGATTGGAAGATATGGTGAAAACAGTACCTGTTTGTTCAATAATTCGAAGAACGTGAAACCGACTTCACAACGCCGACTCTGCTCTCGCGCGCGAACGAAGTTGCGGCATGGGGCTGGCCTCACCTGACCGTGCTTGCTTTGGCAGCTTTGGTTTCGGTATTTTGTTTCACCCAGTGGTGTCGCCCGTGTCACCCATATTTCACCTAAACCTTTTTTTAATCAACGTGATCACTTCCATAAAAGTGTTTCACGTGTTGTTAAAAGACAAACACATAATGTCAATACTACACGCAAAAAACAAAACAACAACAACAAAAGAACAGCTGCTTGGGGTCGCAATCAGTGGTCGCAATCTTGGCGATCGTGCGATACGAAAGCTCATGTACGAAAGAGTGTGCTCAACTCAAAACCAAAACACAAAGTGTGTTCGCAATTTAATGGCGGCGTTAGAACAACGGGTTATACGGTTATACACCGTTACGGGTTGTAGCTATTTTGTGTTTAAAAAATACTTATCCTATCAGGGGAAAAAAAGGTGTCTAAAGAAAATTGTTTTCGCGTAAAATATTCAATCGTCTTCTGGATTGTTTATACTCGGAGTTTCGTCAAAAAACCACCCGTAGCCCATAGACCCACGGCAAAATTTGCAATTTAATGGCGCCCATAAACACGTACCCCGGGTGAGCACCGTGTTCCGCCACAGCTGAAGGAGGCGCTGGCTGGAGGCAGCGGTCTGCATGTCGCTCGGAGACGTCTCGATTTATTCAACAAACAGGTACTGTCTTCATGACTGAATCGTTACGTGCGTTATGCAATAGCTTTGAAATCGACTTCACAAGGCCCCGCTTGCGGCCGTGACTTCGTGTGACTGACAGCTTCAACGTCGGCTGTTCGCGCTTTAATCGGTGCCCTATTCCCACCCCTGCCCGTTTCGATCTGGATGAGCATCGCACCGCCGTGCGGTCGTGTATTACTACTCCGTGGTGCACGTTAAAGACCTAGCGGTTGTACAGCACCGGCTAAATTGCTTATCTACTACAGCGGGTGACTCGTCGCAACTTACTAATGGCTGACCAACTACACGCTCTATAAATATCCACACAATCCCAATTACTATTCCGGTGCCCCATGCGTGCAAGCACTTCAGCTTGCGCGTGAACATGGCTTTGGCAAGCTTGCAATTCCACGGGGAAGGAGGGGGGGGAGGGAGGGAGGGAGGGAGGGAGGGAGGGAAGGGGGCTTATGGGGCTGAAATTTTTGCTAAAATAGTGTTTCTTGATTTTAGAGAAAACAAAATTTAAAAAAAACTCCCGATTTTTATTGACCGTGCACCAAAATGTCCGAGCACTGAAAAGTCCGTGCACCAAAATGTCCGCGCACCGAAAAGTCCCACACCGGAAAGTCCGTGCACCGAAAAGTCCGTGCAACGAAAAGACCGCACTGAAACGCCCTACACCGAAATGTCCGGATCCCAGTTACCAACCCCCCACCCCCTGAGATTGAGACTATATAATGAGGTAGACTAAATAAACGAGTTAGCTGAGTTTGAGACGTCGTCCTGTCTATTTTCTGTCTCTTGATGTTTCTTATCTACCCTAGTCTCAGGTTAATTCCACATTGTTAATAGTCACCAGCTCATCTGCACCTTTACAATATTTTTGCTTTCTTTATGTGCATATTGTTTTCCCCATGTTTGTGTTCATATGCTAACTACGTCAGGCACTGGAGACAGAACTGTTTTTGAGTCTAGTGCACACATTTTTGCATTTATACGATGACAAGCTTAAGGGTAATTATATGGTTTCATGCAAAAGCAAAGAACATTACAGTTGGCTAGTGTAGAACGAAGCTGAGGAGGGGCCATAGCGGTGGCTTTCCTGCACAGCACTGTCCTTTTGTATGCCATGTGACCGGACTCGGCGAATAGCGGCACGGCGGTCCGTGGCCACCGTGCCGCTATTCACATCTCTGGCTCCTCTGCAGGGAGCCCATCAAAAATCTTTACTGTGAGCCATGTATAATGCCACGATAACTAGCTGCAACGATCAGGCTCCGTGCAGTCTGAATTTCAGTTTGGTAAATGGTGAGCACTCTAAGTTTTGGACCTTACGTTTGGTACTTACGAGTGCACTGCAACACCTGCCTTCTCCCCTGCTCATGTGAGACTAGGTGCAGTGATGCGGGTGCAGCATCCTCCCAAGTTAATGTCACTCCCTTTTAAACTATTGGCGATGAGATGTCTTGGTGGCACCACCTGGTGGGCGCCTTCTTGTCACGGAACTGGTAGAATGCGAGTAGACGACACGCTATGGCACGGAGTGGCTATGTTAGTTTGCATCTGCGCCGATTGAGAACGGTTCATTTATTTAAGAAATGTTTATGACATTGTTGTGATTTATCCTTTTAGATTAACAGCACCTCGACATTGCTTTTCGTATTAAAAAAAAATTTTAAAATGTTCGAAAACAAGCCTGGAGCTTCACACGACAGCTTGCGTGCCGTGCGTCAGAGCTATTCACAGCCTCTCTGATTTTTGCTTTTTCAGATGTGTGGAGGCTCCTGTGGGAAAAGGTTTTGCATTCACCACGGTACTGACGCTTCTATCCTAGCGTGCCTCGACATTTGCTGACGAGCTAATGCTCGTCAGCAACTGGCACTCAGCTCCTCTCGCATCGAACATGTGGCAAAGAAGTTTGTCACATCGCAATACAGTAAAACCTCGTTATAACGAAGTTGAAGGAGCGATCATAATTATTTCGTTATAACCATTAGTTTGTTATAGCCAATGTCCATTTCTTCCCTATTAGCAAGCAAGGGGAATTATGATTGCTTTGTTATATCCATTAGTTTGTTATATCCCATTTTGTTATAACGAGGTTTTACTGTATGTGCTCTAAAGAAAAGCAGAAATTTTCATAACTTCTTAAATTATTGGTCATGGCCACACAAATTCAGGCAATTGATTAATTAGCTGTATCCAATTTTAACTAAGAACTGTTTACAAATTTAAAATCACTCACTGAGAAGCGCATCGCACATTATGCGCAATTCTTTATGTTCCCAAAACTACACATACAAACGGTAGTAATTCATAGCAGGCGTATACCTAATTTTTTGGGACGCTAAAGTGTCACCGACTTCCTACATTTAGCAGACCACAATCGCGAAGGGGCCTTGCCCATTTTGCTTCGACCGGGTGAATAAGCAGGAATTTAGCTGAAACGACAGCGGGAGCCAGCCACTGCTTCTTGCCAGTTATTTTGAGGAAATGTTTGTATACTGGTTTAAAAAATTCAGAGGAATGAACTTGGAACTAATGAGAAACCAGCACTCTCAGAACACATTGGAACCAACAGGATACATATAATCGCTTTCACTGAAGTGTTTACTACACATGCGAGCAGTTCTCGAATTTCGCTTTCCTATTTTCAGTTTCATGAGACATACCTTTTTAATTTTTATTTTGTCTTGAATCATAATAAAAAATGCACCTTATTCGCCGTGGTAGATGTAGTTGGGTAAAGCACTGGATAATTTATTTTCATTATCCAGCTTTTGTACTGAGATAGAAAACAGCACACCACCATCCCAGAGCTTCGACACTTGCGTTCCAAAAGTGTTTGTTAGAATGACTATGCATGCCACTTTTTCAAGCTTTGGTGAGGTGTTTTACTATGAATATCACTTCACCAAATAAACACAACGCTTGAAGCAGGCCTTGCCGCATGCTGCCCATACGGCGCATGAAGCAAGACGACCCAAACTCAAACTCTTTATTTCTCTCCGTTTGGAGAGGGGAGACAGAGAAAAAAGCAACTCCGTTGTTGCTTGACGAGCCTCTGCCTCTGCCTCCCCATGACGAGCCGAGGGATCAAAGATCTGCGTGGTCTGTCCTACCCGCAATGTCGATAGCTAGAGACGTGCCCCCAGTACTTCACGCACGCCGCCGACTGTCTGTGCAAACCCTTTTCCGAAAAAAATACTCTTTTCGGGAACAAACTGCCCGCCATGAGGGTCGTCGGAGATTGCAGACAACACCCCACTACTTAGGGAAAATAAACATGGTTCTCACGAGAAACTTGCTGAGCATCATTAAAAACTCCAAGATCAGTCAATTGTAGGAAGACAAAGCATGTGCGAAGCGTGGGGATGCGCTGAAGTTTACACTCTTGAAGCAGGAGAAAGGCTAGCAATGTGACAACGCGGATGTCAGCAAAATTATTTGTGTTTTTGCATCGCCAGCCTTCCACCTGCTTCACGAGTGCAAACTTATGAACACTGACGCTTCCCACGTCTTCTTAAGATCGACTGAATTAGATATTTTCGATGATGCTTAGCAAGCTTCCATATGAAACCATGTTTATTTTCACTGATTAACAAGTTAATTAGCACATTTTTGATAATCATTTTGCTAAATGACTTTTTTTTTTCATGATGTTTGCTGTGGCTGGCAGTTTGTTGCCGAAAAGAGTTTCTTTTTTTCTTAATCCACCTATTCGAAGGAACTTTTTTAAGTGTTTGCAGAAACGCCCGGAATATGAAAGCTTGTAATGTTAAGCATTAAGCAAGACTCGAAATGTTTTGTGGAAAGAGGAACATGGTGGCCTTCATGGATCGGTAGATCCGAGGGTCCCGGGGTTTAATCAACTTTATCCGCAAAAAGTGTTGTTCACAAAACATGTTTAGCAAAAATATAGGGAAAACTAATTGGTTCCAGTGACATGGTTATCTCAGATTTGATCTCTTACAAGTCCAAACCCCTTTAACTGATCACAATTTTACTGTAGTAGCAGTGTGGCAAACAAAAAGAAAACAGACTATGTTAAAACACACAGGCTACAACCTAACTGTGTGCCTAGCGAGCTAGGCATACAGCATTCCATTTTTTCATGCAGTCATCATTATTAAGTCGCATGGCAAAATTCTGGGTGTCTCTTGTTTGTTACCATCAGAGCTGTCCGACTAGCTTAATGAGATTGGAGGATGTGTTCACTTCGTTCTTATCTTAATTACGGTCATTGTTTTTTGCATTTGGTCCTAGTCATCTCAAGTAGTCCCGTGCGTCCTTCGTGATCTTACGAGCCTACTACGAACCTGATTACAAAGAGCTATTCGAATGGAACTGATCCAGTCCTCGAGTCATGGTAAGATTTTTTTAAAAATCTCTTTCATGAAGAGAGGGCAGTGGCAGTGTATAGACTACAGGCAGTCCTAGTCTAGGGCAGCGCTTTTTGTACAGCTGTTCGCAGACTCTTAGGGGTCCGTGCTTATTCTGAGATCCTCCACCTGGGACGTGTCCTCCGTGGATCCCAGAGCTCAAGATGAAAATGTGCAGAGTGATATGAACTATGCTTCGAAAGGAGAGAAGCAAGCACTAGGATTGAAGTTCAGGGGAGGTTCATGGCAGTGGGGAAAGACTGTGAGACAAGGGAAATTTTGGGTTTCTATTCACGGGAGGGTGAAGATCAGAGGAGACAAGCTTTCTCTGGGGAACTAGGCGAACAGCGAGAAACAACGAACAATGAGGAAGTCAGCCATTGCTTCCCATTTTGTTTTTCTCAACAAAACATGCCACAAAATTTAATTGAAAATATGGAATTTTCACAAACATTAGAAAAAACATTCACTTGAACTTTAGACCTTGTTTCTCATTCAAACTACCATGGAATACCGTGCATCCGCCCATTTCACATTAAAGGGCAACTCCGGTCCATACTTTCGATTTTGGGATTATGGCTGTTTTAGTGCAGTCAGCGCCCCTGAATTGCAAGGTTATTTTTTTTCTCGTTATTGTGCGTAGCTTTTAAAGATATCGACGTCTCAAAGTTTTGTTTGGGGCGCTGCCGACAAAACCGAAACTAGCCGCTCGAGGTTCCGACAACACTGGAAATCAGCCGCTATGTGGACGTGACGTCAAGATCGTTCTCGTTCAACGAGTATGCAGGCCAAGCGGCACCTACCTCTGTTGCGCTAGCCAGGGGTTTCCCCAGGAATTGAAATCAGGGGGGGTGTCTAAATTTTTTTGGGGGGGTTAAAGGGTGGGGGGGGGGGGGGGTTATTGCAATTGCAAATATAGGAGTCGTTGTGAATTAAGGGGGTGCCTTCGGAAAAACGAGGGGGGGGTCTAGGGAAATCCCTGGCGCTAGCCGTCTAAAGATAGAAGGTAAGCTGATTTTGTTTTAATTCTGTATACGTAGTAGTTATCCAGCACATGTAGCAAGAGTTAGTGCATATACCCAAAAGCTAGCGACTGGAAAACCCGTCAACTCGTTCCGTGCTGTACACGGCGGTCGCCGCCGCGCGTGCGCTATGCCATGCCGTATTCGTTGCTTGTATACCCAAAAGCTAGCGACTGGAAAACGAGTGAACTCGTTCGGTGCCGTACTCGGCAGCTGTTGGCGTGCGTGCGGTCTCCCGCACTCGTCGCTAGGCCTAAATTGTCATCGGGGCTCCGTGGATGGAGCGGCACTGCTCTACGCCGCGCTGCCAGTGACGTACAGTACTGGGGGCCCTCTCGCTTTCGCGCTGCGGGTCAGTCCCAGACACGAAGCTTTGAGGCTCTCCGGCGCAGGCCGCGACGCCCGAACAGACGTGTGCTAAGCTGTAGACGTCTGTTTTTTCGTTCTCTTTTCCTCAGGCGCGTAAAAGCCAAATTTGTAAGCTACGACACTAATTCACCACATAAATTCGTCCAGGTAGTGAATCTTTGTAAAAATAAAAAAAACTTGCCGCACTAAAAAAAGAAAAGTTCTTTGGGGAGTCATTTTCTTCTCAAAGCTAGCAAAAGTTTTTGTGGGTGATAAAGGAAAACAGAGAAAATTAGCAAGGTGAGAACACTTTCTTTCCCTTCCGCATTCCCACCCCCACCCACAACAATTTTTTTTATTCATTTATTCATATACCCTTAAAGGCCCTCGTGAGAGCATTACATTATTGGAATACATAGGATTTTAAGTTTTCCTTCGTAACTTTTGTCTAAGGCAAGTGTTGTTTTTTTTTTGTTTTTTTTTTTTTTGCATTTTTAAATAATATATTTACCTCCAGCCGAACTTAGGTAAATTAGAGAGTTGTAACTTACAAATCCGAACTTTCGCGATTTCTTTGCCGGCTGTTCGTTAGTAGTCGTTACGGACCTGAATACTATGCACGAGATTGCGTAGTAAACAAGCAGTGACGCAAAGCAGAACATTGTTTTCCTTTTCATTATAAACTTCAGTGATTGGAGCTAGTTAGTGGTTGTACTCTACATGCCCACCATTCCCCATTCAACAGACATTCAATGGAGCGTGAATGCTCAATCTTCAACACTGCACTTGACAATGATTGTTTTATTTATTGATCTGGATACTTTTATCATGTTTACGTTTTCTGTACATGTACGGTGGGCAAAGAGCGTTGGCACGGCATCCTTTTTAAGCCTTGACCCCTTCGCTGACAAGCCACAAGCAACCAACACCTGTAGGTTTCGTTCGTAACTCTCCGGCGAAAAATGATCGGAGCAGAGCTTCGATCTGGGGGTTGGCGTCCAAGGCTTTCTAAAGTCCGCTCGTCGAACAACGTTCACCTACACCTTCTCCAATTACCAATCCGTTGGAAACTTGTGAAAAAGCACCTCCGGGTTGCGCAGCGGGTTGTTTGAGCAGCCCACAGCGCTACAAGTTGTACTCGGCATCTTTCGAGGAACAGCTGGGCAGTCTTGGGCGCACCGAGTTGCTCGCTAAAAGGAGTCTTGGAGTCCTCACAAGCAAATAAACAAAAGGCTATACTGAAACCACACAGGCTACAGGTAAAAGCAACGGCTAAACACGCAATCACAAGCCTAAGTAGCGGTGGTAGCGGCACAAGGAAGCGCGCGCGACGGCTGTGCCGTGCGCCCGTCCGGAACGGAGGAAAAAAAGAGAATGATGTTGACATCACGGCCCAATGTTGCTTTAGCGATCGGCAACCCGCTGCCCGCCCGCTAAGGAGCAGCGGCTCTCGGCAGGTCGCATTTTTATTATCGGCATTAGTTGAGAATGCGGCGTCCCACGGACGTGAAATTTTGGCTGGGGTCGTATTTTGTGTCACTAAAGCGATACCAGTAATTTAATTCATTTTGAGTTTTGGCCGGATTTGTCCTTTAAGCGCCCATTTCCAAATTTGTAAGATCTGAGAAAATATGTGCAGTACATTTATATGCAAAATTGATGACCGGACAAGCACCCATACCCCATTTTCTCATGATTATTTCTAAATTTTGAGTGGGTGCTTGCCCGTTATTTTATGGTATATATTCTCGGCCATCTGGGCCCGTTTGCTCGAAGCGCCAACCGCGGCTAAAGTTAGCCGCAGTACCTAGGAGAGGGATTTTGAAATCACGTGACTGGCTCGGTAGGGATGCGAGGAAACATGGCGGTGCCCCGGTGAGCGAGCACCGCTCTCTTTGGAACTAATGTGTCGTTGTAGCTGCAATATCGGGTGCGTTAGTCAGCAACGAATGGCGCAGGAGGTTTTCGCTTTGCCTTATCTTACTCTAATTTCAAAGCATGGGCTATGACATCGCCGCATTTTTTATATGGTGTTTCGATTCTGGCCATTCCTGAGCCTAAATGAAAGCGATAATTGTCAGCATGGCAACGTCTTTGGAAAGTGGATTGCCGTGACTCAATCGGCCGGGTATTGGTAGCACACAAAAGCAGACAGCGTCCCAACGGACTTTTTCCTAGGTTATCTAAGCATCGCGAGAACGCTGGAAGCGTAATTCTACGGTCCACGCGTGCTGGCCTTCCTCTTATAAAAGATTCGAAGTAAAAAATCATAATAAGGCTTTAAAGAATGTGCGTGCAAGGCAAAAATTTGTTTTATGCTTTTTGCTTTAGAACGGTTACTACTGCAGACGTCAGCACGTGCGACGCGTGCAACTACGGTCGTAGCATGCACCTCGGTGCTTGGATAATTTATGGTGAATTCCGCTCGCAGATCTCGAGCGCTCCAAAAGCGCTCCATTTGGAGCGCGTATATTCCACTCGCAGATCTGGCTCAAGTTGGTCATCTTCCGCTCGTAGATCTCTGGCAGCGCCCGCTCCACGGAGCACCCCAAACTCCGCTGAACTTGCTCTGCGGGGTTTCACAGATCTCTCTGGAAGTCGACAGAGCGGCCCACGTGATTTCCGACTAGATCGGCGGTGCGCATGCGCGGCGAGGTTGGAGAGATTTGCGGGCCGGTCGGGTCGTGGAGTTGGATCTGTTCGGGTGCATCGGTTGTTTACTCTGGATTGTGACTGCTCCAACGCTTCTACTTCGCGTAGATCAGGGATAAAAAGCCGGGAATGTGGAGCGTGGCAAATCGTGAGCGCTGACTCTGTGATCGCGAGAGGAAGAACGAGAAAAGGAACGACAGAAAAGCCGGAGGCAGACGCAAGGTTAGGCCTATTCATTCTGCAGCCTGTGATTGTTTACCCTTTTGCACTGCATTCCGTCGGCGTTTTCCCGTGAAATAAAGCAAGAAGTGGTTAGGCAACGACCGCGCAAGTGATGATTTGTTACCTCTGTGTTTATTAAAGTCGTACTACAAATCTGAACTCCACCGCTGGCAATCGCTGTCCGTGCCTTGCCGCTTCGAGGCGGCCGAAAGGTATGTGACGGTGCCGAACGCGGACGTCTTCGTTATTTGTGACATGGGCGCCGTGGTACGTATAATTTCGCCCGGTCTGTGTCGCGTGTTACTTCTGCAGCTAAGCAGTGACAGTCGTCACTGGTCGTCGGAAAGATTAGCCGTGTTCCGCAAATCGGGACACGGTTGGTGGGACTGGTCAAGTTCGAGCAGCGGCCATTTTGTACGGCGGAGGGAAAAGGGGTGGGAAAAGGTGTGGGGGAGGTCGCTCCAAAAATGCAAGTTTATCTTCCCCTCGTCGATTCGAAGCGGGTCCCACGAAGCGGAATTTTGCCTCCCTCGCGGATTTTGGAAAGCGCTCCAGATCTACGAGTGGAATTCACCAGAAAAAAGGTCTGTTGGGACGCTGTCTGCTCTTGTGTGCTATCAACAATCCGCTTTCCAAAGACGTTGCCATGCCGACAATTATCACGTTCATTTAGGCTTAGGAATGCCCAGAATCGAAACACTATCTAAAAAATGCGGCGATGTCATTGCCCATGCTTTGCGGTTTAAGTGAGGTAAGGAAAAGCGAAAGCCTCCTGCACCATTCGTTGCTGACTAACACGCCCGATATTGCAGCTACAACGACATATTAGTTCCAAAGTGAGCGGCGCTTACTCCCTGGGGCACCGCCATGTTTCCCCGCATCCCTACCGAGCCAGTCACATGATCTCAAAATCCCTCTCCTAGGTACTGCGGCTAACTTTAGCCGCGGTTAGCGCTTCGAGCAAACGGGCCCTGATGTGTCCATTCAGCAGTTCTTCAGCATGCCATCCTGTTGAAAACATTCCCCAATGTCGGTAGAGCAACGAACAAACTGCCGGTTTTAAATAATGTGGTCGTGGCATCTGGCACGTTGTAGGGCTCATTGGTGAGAATGATAAAGCGCTCATCATTTGCAAACAAAAGTTTTTGTATTTCTTCGTTGGCTAAAGACCTCCATTTTGAGCCCATCCCACCTTTCCTCGTGCTTAAAACAAAAAATATTTTTGGGTGGAAGGGGGAGTGGAGTTTTTTCTGAGAAATATTCAATAAACAATCAAAACCCCTGAAGGGGGCAGAGCAATGGTGGTTGCACTACCATCTGCTGGAATGTGCACAAAACAAGCTTCAGAATCAAACATCATCTAAACTCATCGGTTTGGCTTTCTGGCCCGTAATGGGAGAGCATGAGTGAAACTCTTGATTACTAGCGTGAACTGTGCATGAAATTATAGATTAAGAAACTAAAGCTTTTTTAACAGTTCCAAGTTATGTTGGCTGCTGTCCGAGGCAAACACAGGGGTACTAAGGGCCATGACTTGTAGGTCGAGATATGAAGAGATATTATGGGCACAGGTGAAGGAAACAGTAGAACAAGTAACTATGGTACATACCTAAACTTGCCTTGGGATGGGAGCATTTGATGGAAGAATAGCGAACCTCCAAAAGGTGAAGCAAACTAGAGTAGGCTGGAAGAATGGTGGTAAAAGCTCAACGGGACCATTGAAGAACACAGAGAAAACAAGGAGGAGGTTTAGTTATATTCTGGGCAGGGTTGCTCAAGAGTTTGCTCGAATCAAAGTGCCATACCCTAATTCATCCATCCATCCAGAATTTAAAAAAAAATTGTCGAGCCAAGAGTATTTACGTCTAAATTTTGCACTACTCTTCCTTGCTGGTTTCCAGGAAGCCAGCAAGCAGCAAGAAAGGGGAAGCCAGCAGCTGGCCTCCCATTTCCAGCTGTTTTCTTCCGAGACTAGCAACAACACTACATAGCACTCGCCAAATAATGATGTCAACCACTGCCCTAGGGCCAACAGTAAATTGCCGTCACGGGATGATGGCCATTGCGTTAAGAAAGGCAGTGCTTGCTGCCTTTAGGTGGAATGGGCTGAAACGGTTGCAAATTTATTGACGTTCGTAAGGATCAAAGTGAAGCAGATGTAATGTGTTACCCATGAGTGGCACTTCAGTGCATACCATGTGAACCCAACATTGGCATAGAAGGATTCGGACCATCAAACAAGTTTATTTTTACCCCCTAGCACCAAATATCTGACCTAACTAGGATTCTGCTTCTTTCAAATTTGTTTAGACAAGATAAAACAGTTGTTTCAGAAAGTGAAGAACATATTGTTTATTAATTTCTCAACACCTGACATGGTGATGTCCCTGGGTCACGTGATATCAATTCTCTACCGAATGTAGCGAGAAAAGTGACATCATGGTGCCAGGTCATGGTGTCGCATGACACTGTGTTATCTGAGGTCACCTGACATCACATGATATCATTATGCCCCATATATTCCCATGCTAAATTCAGTGGAGAAACTGATGTCTGTTTCATGTCATGGTGTCATGTCACCAATCACCTGCAGAATTTAGCATGTTGCCATGGTGTAACATGGTCAAGTGGCATTCATTCTGCTAACTTTGGATAATACCATGTCATCGACATGGTCATGACAGATTTTCTGGCTTAGTTTAGTGGGGAAATCATGGTTTTATGTGACACTATTTCACGTGACTGATGTCATGAGCCACTGCCGTCATGTGACATTGAGATGTCATGCAGTCAGAGCAACATGAGCAAGTCCATATAGAGTTCTCATATAATGCCTTTAAAAAGCAGCATTTATGAAAAACGTAAGTGATTAAAGTGGCTTATTTGGTTCAAACTAAACAGTTAATAGAGTCAACTCTTTCAGTGCTTCCTTGAACTGAAGTAAAAAGGCACAAAAAAGTTAAACCACTCAGCTAAAGCAGGACCGCAATAATGATTGTTTATTTTGGAAATGTGACACTCTTCGTTGTGCTTTTCTTAAATGAGGTCTTTTAGGAGAGGGAGCTGCACTTTTGGGAGAGATCAGCTGTCCACTGAAAGCCACCAAGGACATCTGGTTTGGATGCTGTTCCTGCACCTATGTCACTAGAGAGCAGCGTGGGATTGTGAGCCACCTGGTTGCCCATGGTGATAAACAATCCAAGTGCCAGCATCCTTCCATGTCATCTACCTCTGGATCCCAAGTGCCCGGCAGTGCACAAAAGTACAGGAGTGATAAGTTGTTCAAGTGCAAGCTGTGCCCCCAAGCCTTTGCTTACAATAACCGTCTGCTCCGTCACAATCGAACACACACTGGTGAAAAGCCATTTGAGTGCAAGCTTTGCCCCCGAGCTTTTGCACAGAATTCAGCTTTGAGAAGCCATATTCAAACACATACTGGTGAAAAGCCATTTAAGTGCAAGCTATGCCCCCAAGCCTTTTATCGCAATTCCTATCTCATCTGCCATAATCGAACTCACACTGGGGAAAAACCATTTAAGTGCACGCTGTGCCATCAAGCCTTTTCTCAAAATGCTGATCTCACCATGCACTATCGAACACACACAGGTGAAAAACCATACAAGTGTAAGTTGTGTCCCCAAGCCTTTGCTAAGAATTCCAATCTGATCTGCCATAATCGAACACACACTGGCGAAAAACCATATAGGTGCAGGCTGTGCCGCCAAGCCTTTTCTCAAAATTTTGATCTGATCATTCATAATCGAACACACACAGGTGAAAAACCGTACAAATGTAAACTTTGTCCCCGAGAATTTGCCCAGAATTACAATCTGATCCGCCATAATCGTACACACAGTGGTGAAAAGCCATTTAAGTGCAAGCTGTGCCCCCAAGCCTTTTCTCAGAAATCGAATCTGATCTGCCATAATCGAACACATAGTGGTGAGAAGCCATTTAAGTGCAAGCTGTGCCCTCAAGCCTTTGCTAGGAAGTCCTATCTATCCAACCATAATCGAATGCACGCAGGTGAAAAGTCATAAAAATGTAAGCTTTGACGAAAATAATCCCTGGAGAAGGGGAACAAGGGGGACAAAGGACAAACATAAATCTCCAAACACAGCTAGGTGACTGGTGAGCGACCGAAAAAATCCGCTTGGTCCGGGTATCGAACCCGGGACCTCTCCATTACATTTTCGGTCGCTCACCAGTCACCTAGCTGTGTTTGGAGATTTATGCTCGGAGTTTCCATCTAACCTGCCAGATTCTAAAGCAGTGTTAAAAAATTTTAAGAGTAAGCTGTGTGCCAAGCCTTCACTCAGAATTGCAATTTGATTAACCACACCTGAACACACAGGTAAAGAGTCATTTATGTGCAAGCTGTGCCCCCAAGCCTTTTGTCCGAATAGTATCTGATCATTCACAATCGTACACACAGGTGAAAAGCCACACAAGTGTAAGCTGTGTACCCAAGCGTTTGCTCAAAATTTTGATCTGATATGCCATAATTAAATATACAGTGGTAAAAACTTTATAGTGCAAGCTGTGTTTCCCATGCCTTTGCTGAGGATTGCACTCTGATCAACCGCCCCCAAATGCACACAGGTGAAAAGATATAGAGTTACAACTATGTCCCCCAACCTTGCTAAGAATTCGTCTGACGTCCGATAATTCAACACACTAATGATAAACCTTGTTAGTGCAAGCTGTGCCCGAAGCCTTCACTCACTATAGCAGTCTGTTCTACCACAGTCAAACACACACAGGTGACAAGCACTCTGAGTGAGAGCTTTACCGATGAGTCTGTTGAGAATTCTCACCGGAGAAGCCAGAATCACACTGGCGAAAAACCATTTAAGTGCAAGCTGTGGTGCCAAGCCTTTTGTTAGAATTGTAATTAGATCATAGATGATCAAACACAGTTTAAAAGCCATACGTGTCTAAGCATGTCCCCAAGCCTTTCCTCAGAATTCTGGTCATAGCCACCTTACACAAACACAGTTGTGAAGAACCTGATGCAGTGGAATCTTTTTAAACGAAGCTTGAAGGGACCAGGGAAATCTTGTTCATTTATCAGAAGTTTCGTTTACTGAAATATGTGCTGTATGATGCACTAGGAATGTTAAATGCTGTTTTGGGTCAGCTTTATACGCCACTTGGCGAATGTGCAAAATGCTGTTCAAGAAAAATCAAGAAATAAGAAAACAAAAATTTCTGCTTTTGTATATGCACAGCTTTAGTTAAAAACAACCACTCACTGGGTTGGCAAAAAAAGTTGGTCTTTGTTTTAGCTCTTGCAACCGCTTCTTTTGAATGTTATCTTCCATGGCCAAAAGATTATGCAGAAAGAGTTCTGGAAATTGCTCTTGCAGAAAAAATATCTTCAGTGTTTGCAGTGCTGAGTCTGCCTGTTGAAGGGTCACAAATTGTTCTGCTGCCTCCTTCTCTGGTCTCTCTGCTTCTTTTTGCTCTCCTCATTGCAAATTTTGGCCACAATACTTCTCAGTGTTTTCAGAACAACTCGCAACGTTGAAGTCAAACGAGATTCCTCTCGTTGAAAACTCTTCTCATAGATCCTGCTCCTCGATGGGATCTTCATGTTCTACCTGAGGCCAATCCTCCGTGTCTCAGTTACGCATGGCTTTGGCAAATCCTTCATGTCTGAAGCAGTTGGCAATTGTGCTGGCCTTGACCTACCTCCAAGCTTGGCCAAGAAAGTATGCAGCGTGAAGTATGTCCACCTTGTAGTATTTCTCTTGATCCATACAAAGAAGCATCCTCTGCAGGAGGTTCTTGCGGAAGTGCAACTCAAGAGCTTGAATTACTCCCTGATCCATGGGCTGCAGCAGTACTGTGGTGTTGGCAGGCAGGAATTCCAACTGTATGGATTTCAGACAATGCACAACTCCATGTCCAGGGCAGTTGTCAATGAGGAAAATAACCTTTTTGTCTCTGAAAACTGTGGCATCCTCACTATGAATCCACTTGCTGAAGATTATTTGCATCATTCATGCTTTAGAGTTTGATTCAAATAAAATGGGGAAGGTTGCAACGTTCTTGGAACAAGGACGCTTTCACTTGCCAATCGCTTAATGCTTGAGCTTGTCACTCCCGATCATGTTAGCACTAACGAAAACACTCAAGTCTTTCCTTGCTAAGTTTTCTGCCGGTGCACTGTTCACCTTTGAGGGAGAGAGTCTTTGTTGGTAAAAGTTTGAAAAAGGGTGTGGTTTTATCTACACTCTAGATATCATCTGGTTGAAGCTGCCTTAGAATCTCCAGAAGGTGCCGTGCCTGCCAGTGTTTGCACGCAGTGGTGTCAGCAGTTTCTCGTGACATGGTTTGAAAAATGAAACCGTCCCGGTCCTTAAATCTGCTTAACCAGCCTTCGCTGCAGGAAAAGTCCTTGCTCTTGAGTTGCAAGACGAATTCTTCAACTTTTGCAGGAATGATTGGTCCATTGAGGGGTAGGTTTTGGCTGTGGGCCCTTTTTATTCACTGCACCAAGCACTTTTTATTTTATTTATTTATTTAAAGAATACTGCGGCTCACATCTGTGAGCCATAGCAGGGGTGGTTACATAATGGCATGATGTAATATACTTATGAGCACTTAAGCTCATAAGTATATTACAAGCTCTTCGTGATCAGGCTGTTGCAGTCTCTTCCTTTGTGGTCCAAACCGCAAACTGGCAAAAGCACACCACAGCTTTTTTTTTTTCGTGAAGAATCCTTGTCGGGCTACTTTTCAGAATGCCATACTTAGCTGCGGGCGCCGTTTTTGTGCAGCAACCACTATCAAAATATTAATGATTTCAAGTTTCTTTTGCAATGTGAGGGAACAGTGCGCCTGCTTTTATCTGATCTTGCCAGGGGGCAGAAGGGTTAAGTTTACCAGGGAGCCGCAGGCCGCACTTGGGCCCCTGAAGAGCCGCATGAGGCTTGCCAGCTGTGGTTCGGCCACCCCTCCTCTACACCTATATTTGGCGTCAACTATTGCGTGCAACCTTGTCAAAGCTAGCATAGCTTCCACAGTGCTTTAGTCGGACACTGCTGCGAAAGCATGTGGTCGAGGCCTATTCGCATTCACTCAGGCAACTAGCTGACAGAGTTGGAGCACCAAGGAAGCTATGCTGGCCTTGCCAACGTAGCACAAAATAGTTGACACCAAGTATAGACGGGTGTGCGTGATCGGGAAGCTCAGCTTCCTTTCAAATTCAAAGGGGGATTGTAGCTTTTCCTCCAAGTCGTCGTCATTAGTCGAGGTCACTACCTTCTTGCCAAGGTCCTGAAGGTCCGTGAAGATTTAGCACAGAGAAGCTGCCCAGGCAGAGATAAAAGAATCGGCCTCCACAGCACATCGTTGTAAATCTCGTCCACCTTCAATTACTGTCAGTAGCACACGGCCTCACAGTTCTTTTCAAGTCCCATATTAGTTTGATTGATGGAACCAAGCTCGACAGTGCTTGGGAGGTTTGTGTCGGCAAAGATTTGCAGCTATACATGGTTTGTATTGATGTCACATCAGCCGCCATTGCTCCGTACCGTGCTCCTGTGCCCGTACCCGCTGCAGCATATATTTCACACCATCAAATTTATTCTTCTCAGCAAGCCTTGCCAAGGAGACAAATTTGATGGTGTCAAATGTATGCTGCAGGAGGTACAGATGCAGGAGCATGGTACGGAGAATGGCAGCTGGTACGGTGCTTTACGACGTCATTTGCAAGGCATGTATACAGGCTGGTGGCAGCGAGGTTCAGCGTGGTTATTTCTCGGTTTTGGTCGAACATACAAATGGACAAGGAACCTTCTGTGTGCAATCAGTTACGTGGCAGTCGGTTGAGGGGCAGGTCAGCCGCCAAGCTTTAACACGATCATGTGCATCAAGTTTAATGATACTTTGTTCCCAAAGTTGCACAAGCCCTTAATGGTACCTTGCCTTCGTTAATTTTCAACATGTCCTGCATGTAATATTGCCACTCTATCGTCTGCTTATATGTGTAAATAACTGTCATAGAGTTAGCTTTATTTTTATCCTTTGCAAATGGCCACAAGAGCTTAGAGCCACTGTTGCATAGTCCATGTAGTTGTATTAACGTCTGCATTTTTTCATGATGCTGCCCAAGACTGCTTGTATCCTGCTTTCTGCATTAAGAGTGGTGCACACTCCACTACAAATATGTTTTGAGTGCACAATGTTATTGTGAGAAGTTTGTAATTTGTGTAGCTACGTGAACATTATGTCTACATCTTCATACGACTCTTCCCATTATATACTATGTGACTGAGGTGGAATGCTTGAACGTCGGCTTCTTTACTTGTGCCAAATTGTTTGTGTTTTTCTATGTGCCTTCGTAATAGAGCTTTAGGTCGTCGATTCACGTGTCACCTCGTACGCTGCATTTGTATCCCCTCTTGTTGTAAATAGATCATGCAGAGCAGCAATAAACTGTTTACTATGTGATAAAAGCCTTTTTGTGCTTGTAAATTATGGTTAAGGCACAGTACGAGCGAATGCAAAAACTAAAATTCCAAGGAGGCTGCCATTTTGAAAACAAAAACAATACATAAAGACGAAAAGTAATTAGTAAAAGAAACTGCCCTCGGCAATGTTTTTCAGGTATTGCAAAGAGTTCAAACTGGTTTCAGATAGCATTGACCTCAAGCACTGTTGTCTGAAAAGAAAAAACTTTGGGGACGTTTAAGCGCTGCCTCTAAGAGTGGAATGCAGTAACATATGTGTGTGGTCTAGTGGGTAGTGTCACATGATGTCACGTGTTTTTATCACCATTTTTTTGCCACCAAATCTGGCGGGAAAAGTTTCCACTAAGTTTTGCAGGAGAATTTTTCACCAAATTTGGCAGGAAAATTTTTTCGCCGAATTTAGCGGGTCGATGGGATCATGGACGTAATAGTCATGTGTGACGTAACACGTAGCTGTGCGCATTGCACTATGGAATCTTTTGGTCCCGTTGACGCCGAAACCGGGTTTTTGCGACACAAGCTCCTAAATGCCATTGCGTTAAAACACAAAGTCTGCCACACCTGTCTGTTACGAGTCTTGCGCCTACAGAAAATGTTCCAAACTAATTTGTTTACTCGATACATATATACGCTCAAGTTGGTT